CTCACCCTGTTTTTTTTTTTTTCAAAAAAAAAATGTCCCTTGTTCGAGGCTTACCAACAACAAGCCGAGAAGTATTTTATTTAAATTAATCTCTCATAAGTTCTAGTGGGTCATTGGCCGTGGATCGGGGCTAATCAGGCTGAGGCGCTAAGTTGCACATTTTGCACTTCGCACGGAGGCATCGTGACGCTGTTTGACGCCACGTTGGCTGCCACTATGGTCGCCATGAAGGTTGCCACGCAGGCTGCTTCACAGCATGCGGATGAGCTACGTATTCGCACGAGGGTGACCCTAGCGTTCTTGTAGTTTGACAAGGTTCGCTCATTCGATGAGGTTCATCTGTTATACGAGGTTCGCCTGTTTGACGATGTTCATTCGTTCGACGAGGTTCGTCTGTCATATGAGGTTCGCTTGTTTGACGAGGTTCGCTTGTTTGACGAGGTTCGCCTGTTTAATGAGGTTCGCTCGATCAACGAGGTTCGTATGTCATACGAGGTTCGCCTGTTTGACTATGTTCGCTCGTTCGACGAGGTTCGCCTGTCATATGAGGTTCGCCTGTTTGACGATGTTCGTTTGTCAAATGAGGTTAGTCTGATTTGCTGAGACGTGACTCTCGCGTTTCGTAGCAACATGTCCATTGATTTCCTCGTATTCAGCAGTTACTGTATGCAGCAGTTACAACAGCATTAAGAGCAATTTAATGCATTAATGTTACAATCTTAATTGTCATTAAAAATTATAACGATCACGTTAATTGCTAGTGACTCTTGAGCTGACCTTAGAGGCCTATAAATAGCACCCTTGGGCAGCTTTTGGTTGTTGCTGGAAACTTTCTCGCGAGCGTGGAATACGAACGTCAGTATAGAATACGAACGTTGGTATACACACGCGAGCTTGGAAAACGAACGTCGGATCAACGTTGTTGTTGTTGTTGTTGTTGTGCTGATGCTGCTGCAGAAATTATGCTCGTGGGAACCCTGAAACCGAAAGGTTTTTTGAACCGAAAGGTTCTGAGATCGAGGAGATCTTTTGCCTTAACCAAAAGGTCTTATAGATCGAAGAGATCTTGACAGTACAGGGTTGGTGCATACAAGAGTACTGTACTACTATTCCTAGAAGCAGTTTGGCCTTGGGATCCTTGCAGCGGAGTAGGCCAAATATTGTTTTAAGCACAGTGTTTCACAAACGCACAACAGTTAATTGAAAAAAGTTTAAAATAACATCACGTCATCCTTCACTATTTAATTCTAGATTTAACCATAATTTCTAACAAAAAGTTCAAATAAAGGAACAAATTCATAAACCTAGAAATCAAATTGAATTACTAAGAGGCGTTCTATCAAATCGTTAGCTTGCAACTCCCAAAATCAATAAATTAGCAAGAGATTAATCAGCCCAATTAGAGGGGGGTTTTGGGTTTGCTGGAGAAGGGGGAGAGGGTAGCGTTGAGGAGCTTGGCGGCGCTGTCGTAGGCGATCCAAGCTTGGATCTTGTCGCCGGACTTGAGGTTGAGGCCGACTTTGGAGCCTGCGTCGTCGAAGTAGGCGGCGGTGACGGACTTGTTCGAGGCGAGGTTGTTGATGTCAACGCCGACGTGGTTGTCGTTGATGTCAAAGAACTCGAAGTCCTGTGCAGTGTCAAACTCGACGGCGAATATGTAGTCGGAGGAGTTGGTGATGTAGTTGGGGAGAGGACGAAGGCGAAGCCATGGCCGCCCCTGAAATTGAGGATGGGGGAGGGGGTTGGGGGGTTCCTGAAATTTTTTATTTTGGGGGAAAGAAATTTTCGATTTTGGGGGGGAAGAAGGGCGGGAGGAGTTTTAATAGGCTAATTTTTTTTTTTAAAAATGATCTAAGTATTCTAGACGGAAATTTCCGTCTAGGATACATCTTAGACGAAAATTTTCGTCTAGGATACTTGGTAAATTTTTAAAAAAAATTAAAAAAATAAATCGTCTACTTTGTTATCCTAGATGAAAATTTTCATCTAGGATGTTTTATCCTAGACTGATTATTCTAAAAAGGAAATTTTCTGTCTAGTTTAATTGCAAACTAGACGGAAAAAATTCCGTCTAGGATACGTTATTTTCTACTGGTGACTATCAACAAACAAAGCATACAAGCGGTTATCCCTTACTCAGCCAAACCCCATCGGATTCATATCTTCTCAATTACAAAAAGTAGTGGAGAGACTACAACTATATCGCAATCGTTAATCTGTTTAATTGGTGCTTATGATTTGCCTTTGAGTGTAAATTAAAAAATGAGTATAAATCATGGGATGTGGTGAGTGTTAGATTTGAAATAAATCATAACCATCTACTAGATAAATCAATGACTATAATTAATGCAGTATTCTCTCTACTATTTTATTTTTTTATTTTTTTATAGGGGAAAGGATCCAAATTCAAACCTCATGTGTTATAATTTAATCACCAAAAAATTATATGGGTACCCAAATTAATTTTTTGATGGATTATAATTGAAAATAATCTATTTTTCAAACATCCACGTTGTGCATTATAATCCAATATGATCATTTGCCAAACGTGCCCCTTGCCAAGCATCCATTTATGACAGGGCCATTTTGAGCCATTTTTACCGATGTTTACGAAAGGTCAAAGCCGAAAATATCCGTTTGGTTTCAGGTCAAATTCACCATTAATACTAAAGCCGCTACAAAACTCCATTGCTAGCTCTTTCAGTCTTTCCTCTCTTCCTAAGAAACAGCGAGAGACAGGAGGACGACGATGATGAGTTCTCAAGTTCGATCTCATTTTCCTAAAATGGGAAAGGTTTGGGCAATCTCATAAACCCTAACCCTAGGAATTTGATGGATGAGAGCTTCTTGACGTGAAGAATCATGAAGTTCAGCCGTCGGACCGAGGAGGTGGATCCTGGGCGATTCATGAGGAGGTGTGACAAGACTGAGGAGATTATTACAGTGTGTTTGGATGGTGGTTAGAGGATATAAGGGAAGGTGAAATTTTATAATACCTTTGTCTGGGAGTTTTTTTGAGGGGTTAAAGGATGGAAGGGAATGTGAAATTTTGTAAGAGTTTCCTCTCCCCCAAATTGGACGATAGAGGGAGTAAAGGAAACATGTGTAAATATGTTCAAGATAGAGAAACAATTTTACCCTTATAATTTATTAGTTGGAAAAAATGTCTTAATAACATCTAAAAGTTTATGTAACTTTATATATATATATACTTTACTTCCTCCCTTTTATTAGAACTCTCAAACAATGTAAATTAAGTTTACTTCTGTTCCCCTTACTAAACTCTCAAACAACATTTTATCGTTTTCCTCTCCTTCCTACCTTTCTTTTCCATTATTTAACTTTCCTTACCTTCTCCTAGTAAACTCCCAAACAAAATGTTAGGGATTGTGTTGAAAGGTAATCAAAATTCCCCCCAATTTTGATCTGACATGGATGGTGATTGTTCTGAGTATGACTATGAATATGTCATTTTTGTATTGTGATTAAATTTATGCAACCATTTATATGCCTCTATATTAAATACGTTAGGGGAAAATATGGAGATAAAGTTTGGAACTTTTATGTAAGATAGGATTTCTATTTAATTCGATAGAGGACAGTCGAACGACAAAGCCCACTTCTATAATGGAAGGTATCAGCTCAAGTTTTGACTATGTTAGATAATAAAAGTTTTGCATAACTAGTTCATCAATTCATTCACATAAATGTGGGCATAAAAAGACAAAAGTATTTGGAACTATTGTATAGTGTTTGTGACGGTATATTGTCGACAAATACATTGGTCTCACTTCTTTCTTTCTTTTTTGAACTGAAAAACAGGGACGGAGCCCTGCTCATATATTATAACAGCACTGGATATGAGGTAAATACAAAATATTCACAGAAGTCTATACCCAAAAAATAAAAAAAACCAGAAATTAACATAAGCTATGGGAACAGAGAGAGCATAGGGAGATAAGGAGCGGACCTAGTCGTCACCTATCAACCCCATAGCTCTCTGAGTTCCGACATAACCCTTCAACCTTAACTTCACAACACTAAACCAGCTATATATACAACATTACTGGAGAATCAACAGATAACTAAGGTTTTATGAAACAGACCACTGAGACAAGAGTGTTTCATGGGTTCCAAAGACAAAAGAGAGAAGCAAGAGGATAAAGACACTTCTTAATCTTGCGGAAAGTTGTCTCCAACATCATCTTCTACTTTCCTTCTAGCAATTTCTTCAAACTTTAGCTTGATTGCAGCTTTTTGAATCCTTCTAGCCAGCCGATCTTCCTCAGCACCTGTCCATAGCAGAGTGTATCTCGCTATATTAGCTGCAAGCTTATCAGGATTAGGCAATTTATCTTTAAAAATAAGATAATTACGACTATTCCAAATCCACCAACAACAACAAGGTAGAAGAACTTTCCAAACTTGCTTGATATCGTTAGAATGCCCGTGATTATCCTTGAAAAGAATCAAATCGTCCAAATGATGATGCCAGCTAGCTGGATTGTTGTTGGGGAGAAGGGCAGACCAAACGGAGATGGCGAAGGGACATTTAATGAAAAGGTGGTCCAGATCCTCAATACATAGTGAGCAGAATGGGCATCGAGGGTCTCCTGACCAACCTTTAGAGACCAAATTTGCCCTGGTGTTGAGCCTATGCTTACTAACAATCCAAAAGAAGGTCTTCACTTTCAGAGGAATCGGAGATATCCAAATAAAATTGTATAGAACAGAGTTAATACCCCCAGAAGTCAAGGCAGAGTATAAAGATTTAACAGAGAATTGACCTGAAGATTGCAGAGGCCACCATAAACTATCTGATGCAGAACTATCATTGCAGGTGAAATGTTCCAAAAAAGAATAAAACTTGAGGGTCTCTTGTCTGTCCTCTAGAGTGATACCTCTCTTTAGAATGGTGTGTCATTTCCACTCATTGTTGAGCTTGATACCTTGAGAGCGAATGACACATTCAGAAGAGAATGCACGGTTATATACTTTAGGATATATACTCTTCAGGGAATTACCTCTTGTCCACTTGTCTATCCAGAACATGCATGCTCGACCATCACCAATATTCCATCTAGCAAAGCTAAAAAAAATCCGGTGAATGGAGTGCAGATCTTTGATAAGTTTGGAAGCATGGGAGGTGGGAATATGAGCAACAAGATTGGCACCATCTTTAGAATATAGGGAGAAAACCACTTTACTGACAAGAGACTCTCTATCAAAAAACTTCCAGATCCATTTTGATAGAAGAGCGATGTTAAATGATTCTAATTGAATAACACCCAGGCCTCCGTCCTTTTTTTGCCTGCAGACAGTATCCCAGGAGACCAAGTTTCTAACTATGGATGATTGATGATTGTCATTCCATAAGAAATTTCTCCTAATTTTGTCAATTGCTTTGATGAGCCACCTAGGCAACTTGAAGAAAGATGAGTAGCACAGAGGAATGGAAGAAGGAACAGAGTTAAGGAGGGTCAATCTACCGCCCAGAGACAGAGATCTGCTTTTCCAAAGAGAAAGTTTTTTTGAGAAAGAATCTAGGAGAGGTTGCCAATCTCGTTTGGAAAGAGAACCAAACTTGAGAGGGAGGCCCAGGTAGGAGAAAGGAAGGGAGCCAACCGAACAGTTGAGGAGATTAGCAAGTTGAGGCCCTTTATGTGGAAATTTGCCAAGGTAAAACAGGTTTGATTTGATATGATTAACTCTCAGGCCAGAAATATTAGCAAAGATAAGCAGGATGGCCTTTAAAGTAATCATATCAGTAGGAAGTGCTTTGGAAAAGATGGTTGTATCATCCGCAAATTGAAGGGATCTTATCTTGTTCAGTTCGCCTTTGAGGTTGAGCTGAGATAGATCTCCAGCGGCAGCGCTATTGATAAGCATTCTGTTAAGCACATCCACTACCAAAAGGAAAAGCATAGGAGATAGCGGATCCCCTTGTTTCAAACCTCTGTGACAAGGAAAAAACTTAGTAGGAGAGCCATTAACAAGGACAATCGACTTAGTGGAGGATATGATATGCTTGATCCAAAGGCACCACCTTGGGCTGAAACCTCTAGCTTCTATGAGGGATAAGAGGAAACTCCAGTTGACACAATCAAAGGCCTTGAAAAAATCAACTTTAATAGCACATATTTCCTTTTTACTAGAGGAGCAGAAGTTAATCATCTCATGGGTTATAAGAATGGAATCCAAGGTAGATTTACCTTTTTGAAAAGCAGATTGAGAACCATCCACAAGAAGATGAAGGAATTTGCTCAATCTATTGGCTAGGATTTTTGAGAAGATTTTACAAGAGCTATTAATCAGGCTAATAGGTCTGAAGTCTTTGGGAGAACATGCCCCTTCTTTTTTTGGGATGAGACAAAGATAGAAGTAATTGATATTATGAAGTGTTTGTGGGTGGATGAAGAGATATTGGTAGAAGGACGTAATATCAGGCTCAATTGTGTCCTAGAACTTATGAAAGAACAAAAGGGGGAAACCGTCTAGTCCTGTGGACTTATCAGGATGAAGCTCAAACACCGCATATTTGATCTCCTCTGGAGAGAAAGGGATGTTAAGGGAAGAGAGATCAGTGTTACCCTCAGGGTAAAGGGACTGCCAATCCACATTAAGTCTGGATTCCGATTGACTATTGAAAAGATTGGAGAAGTAATCAAAGAAAGACCTCTTCATCTCGGATTCTTTCGAAATGATAGAGTTGTTAATCATGAGGTGGGGGATAAAAATTTTTTCTTCTACGGTAGGAAGCAACTCTATGAAAAAATTTGGTGTTGCTGTCACCTTCTTTGAGCCACTAAATCCTAGACCTTTGCTTCCACTTAATCTCCTCTGAATTCGCGAGAGCTAAAAGTTGGTCCTTAAGGTGACTTATAGTCTCAAGTTCAGAGGAGTTTAAACTTCTAGATTCCTCAAGGAGGTTGAGAGAATCAAGCTGAGCCATGGCGGAGGAGTATAAGTGATGAGGAGAGCCAAGGCAAAACCTTTTCCACCACTTGATTCTTCTTTTAATAAGTTTCAATTGAGAAGGAAAGGTGGAGAAGAGAGGTCTTGAAAGGTGAAGGAAGACCAACTAGATTTAATGAAATCTGTGAAGGAAGGGTAGGATAACCAGGACTTCTCAAATCTGAACAAAGGAATTGGTTTTGGAGCACTTGTGTCTAATATAATGGGACAGTGATCTTGTTTGCGTCAAAAATTGTTGTATTCATTGCTGTATTCATTACAACTTTAGTCGTTACAATGAAATAAAAAAAATTGTCTTTTTATTAGACTTTTACACAATGAAAACAAAAAGTTACAACTCTCGTCAAAACAAACGCAGAGATCGTTTATCGGTCTTCTGCTTGCGTGGGATCTTTGTCTGTGCCGGGGTTTATCCGTGGACCGCCTTTGATCTAGATCCGGTTGATGAAAAATTCGGCAGAGCTTCGTCTTCACCGAGGAAGTATTTGATTTGAAGCGCTGAGATCGACCAAGCGAAATCAGGGCTCTTCTCGAGATTAAGACCAAGCCTAATCTCAAGGGACGGACGGGAATGGGTGTCGGATCTCTCGAACTCTCCTTCTTTATGCCGAAGAACTCGCCAAGATCTGTCAACCCTCGCTAAAATTCGTGCTCCTTTGACTCCACAATCCGGTAGCACCTCCTCGTCTTGATAATCAATCGCCCCCCAGAAATGAGCACTCGAGCTCGTATTTATAAGCTTCAGAAGCGGTTATTTGGATGAGAACAAGTGATTTGGCTCTATCTTCAGTTAATAACTGATTAACCATGCTAGGGGATGATATCAAGTCAGTTTGGATGCTCAGGAACGACCAAATCCTGAGAAAAACCGTCAAAAACCGAACTGGGGTCGAAACAGCGCGCGCAGGAAAAATCCGACCCGCGGTTACTGTAGCGCGGGTCGGAAAATTCCGACCCGCGGTACTGTAGCGCGGGTCGGAAAATTCCGACCGGCTGTTACTGTAGCGCGGGTCAGTTTGAGATATCTGCGGTATTTTGGTCATAACTCTTTCGTACGGCCTCCGATTAGGCTGATTCAAGATGCGTTGGAAAGCTAACGAAGAGATCTACAACTTTTATGTTTTGAGATTTTTCAGATTCAAATCGCAGCATAGTTAAAACTTCACTTCTTTGTGTGGTCAGATCACTGTAGCGCGGTCCGACCCGCGGTTACTGTAGCAGCCAATCCGACCCGCGTCACTGTAGCAGCTAATCTGAACCCGCAGTACTGTAGCACCAGTCCGACCCGCACACTGTAGCAACCATCCGACCCGCGGTTACTGTAATAGCCTTAACTCACTCATCCGACCTCAGAATGAGGTGATTCAAGATGCGTTGGATAGCCAACGAGGAGATCTACAGGCTCCCATAATTGAATCATATTTGGAATAAATGGGACACGAGGGGTGCTCCGCCTTTTGTAAACGACGTGGGGCTCCCGATCAGCTCTCGTTTCCGTTATTCCGAAGTTTCGTTGCTTCGTATGATCCGTCGACTCACTTCATGTATTTGTCGTTGTCAAACGAGCTCCTGCGACTCTAATAGCGACGTTTATCATCTTCTCTCTGTCTCGAGCTGTGTGCGGACACCCATAGGTATTTTTAGACGCCTACAGATACCCCCTCCAAAGTATTTCAGACTCATTCTTTTATAAAGGAGTATGGAATGCTTTGGATAAGATAGGCCATCTCCGCAATTTCGTAGAGTGACCTTGAACTATCTCAATCCTTAATTTCTTCAGCCTTCAATCTATTCATTGTTTCATCGAATAGATGAAGTTCTTCCGGCGTTGCGTTTATCATCTGACCGTTGTCGAAATCTTAAACTGAGATTGGTGTGTAAGTTTCAGAACTTAGCTCGTGCCATTGAGTTGACTTTGAACTGATTATCTTCGTCAGAAATTCATATCTGAATCTGATTGAACTCCCTGAAATCATTGTTTTCCTTAATTTGGCAAGATTGCTGATGCGTTGACTGGCATCGATCTTTACTGTAACGCGTTGTGTGGCGTTGACTTTTGTTGAAGTCTACACAGTTTAAGCTCTTAAGGTATTGGAACGTGGCGGTCCCAAATGTTGGGCTGCAGGACCAACTATTAAAGCTGATTCATCTGCATGTATGGATCTTATCCCGAAGTCGTTGGATGCTCAATTCTCGAGATCAACTAATGAAGCTGATACGTCAATGACTCACGTTTATAGAATTTTTGGCAAATTCTCAGCCATCAACGGGTTTGATGTGCCTTTACCGATTATCGTTTGAATCGGGCTAGCATGTGAATTTTAATCCCGTCTCACATGTGACGTTGCGCTAAAAGAATTATTTCTCTTAGACTTTGTGCTATGATTTTGAATACATAGACTTCACCATTTCTTATGGTAAACAGCAACGTGTATGAGACGTTGACTTAGGATTTTTGGCAAATCCTCAGCCTTCAACGGATTTGACGTGCTCTTACCGACTACCGTTTGAATCGGCTTACATGCGGATTGTTTTAATCCGTTCTGCATGTGACGTTGTGCTAAGAGAGTTAACGCTCTTAGTGCTACGATATTGAATACGTAGACTTCGTCTTTCTCACGGGAATAGACTACCCGGCGACGCGTGTTAGGCGTTGACTTTAGGGTTTTTGGCTAACCCCCAGCCTTCAACGGATTTGATTAGCGTTTACCGACTACCGTTTGAGTCGGACTAGCATGCGAATTGTCTAAATCCGTTCCGCATGTAACGTTGTGCTAAGAGAGTTAACTCTCTTAGTGCTACGATATTCAATACGTAGACTTATCCATACACAGGATTCAGGATAAAATTCCCCATGCATAAAAGGCATGGATTTTTGTTGCTACGATGCTGAATACGTAGACTCGGTCGTTTTTATGGGAACGAACCACCCAGCAGCACAGGTTAAGCGCTGACTTATCCCTACTTAGGCTTCGGGATAAAATACCCTAGACTAGATTCTGGTATCTTTTTTAATCGGTGAAAGACTAAACCGGCAACACGTGTTAGGCGTTGACTTATCCCTACTCAGGATTCGGGATAAAATTCCTCATGCATAAAAGGCATGGATTTTTGTTGCTACGATGCTGAATACGTAGACTCGGTCGTTTTTACGGGAACGAACCACCCAGCAGCAGCAAGGTTAATCGCTGACATTATCCTACTTAGGCTTCAGGTTTTGGTAAAATGACCCATAGACTAGATCTGTGTCTTTTTTTAATCGGTGAAAGACTAAACCGGCAAACACGTGTATAGCGGCGTTGACTTTATCGCCTTACTCAGGATCGGATAAATTCCCATGGCATAAAGGCATTGGCTTTTTGTTGCTACGATGCTGAATGACGTAGACTCGGTCGTTTTACGGGAAAGCGAACCAACCAGCAGCCAGAGGTTATGCGCTGACTATCCCTAGCTAGGCTTCGGATAAAATGACCGCCAGACTACGATTCTGGTGTTTTTAATCGGGTGAAAACTAAACAGCCGTAACACGTTTAGGGCGTTGACTTTATCCGACTACTCAGGATTCGGGATAAAAATCTCTGCATGCGATAAAAGGCATGGGATTTAGTTGTTGCAACGATGCTGAATACGTAGACTCGGTCGTTTTTACGGGAACTGAACCACCCAAGCAGCCGGTTAAGCGTGCTGACTTATCCCTACTTAGGCTTCGGTGTAAAATCCCACAGACTGTAGCATTTACTGGTGTCCTTTTTCACTTCGGTGTGAAAGACTAAACCGGTAACGCACGTGTTAGGCGTTGATCGTTATTCCCTACTCAGGATTCGAATAAAAATTCCCCGTGTGTGTAGCAAACGGATTTAGAAGTTGAAAAAAAAGCGGAGTCTTCTCTTGGGGCAAAGACGAACATTTGGTGCGCGATGCGGGAGAGGAAAATTTTACAATTCTATCTCCCAAACTGAAGAAGAAGAATTTTATATATCTATCGCCATTACATTGAAATCAAAAGTGGGATCGTCCACTTTCAAGAATCCGAGAAGTGAAACTAAAGAGTTGGGATCTCCACTTCGAGAATCAAAAAGATTCGATAATCCTAAACTGTCGGAAGGTTTGATTATCGAACTAAAGATGAATTTCTCGTTTATCGAGAGTGAATTCTGGTTTTGGTCCTTACTGTAGGAAGGTTTGACCAAGCGGGAGTTTGAGGTGACCCTAACTGTAAGAAGGTTTGATCACTCGATTTGAAAGTGGACCTCTCGTTCATTGGAGGAATCGAGAGGGGATTTTGACTGTGGTCCTAACTGTAGGAAGGTTTGACCAAGTGGATAGTGAGAGTGGGAGTACAAATCACAGCGAGAGTATTGACTTGTACAAATCACTCAGTAGGGGTTCTTAGTGTCAAGTGATAAGGACTTAACACGAAGGGGTTTGATAATTCGTCAAAGATTGACAGATGATAATTCTAAGCATTATATCCGGACTCTAACCATGAAAGTGTTGAGTGCATGAACATAGCGGAAGTTCGAATGAATTAAACCGGAAAGAATTTCGGTGATCCCATCGTCGGTTAGTCTGATCGATGGGGGATTTTTGTGGTGGTGGCGACTGTGCGTCGTCGAACACCAATGGAAGTTTTGCGAGAGAAGATTGATCCAACGAAGTGATCGAATCTCATCTCAGCAAGAGAGTGTTCGGAAATCACAATGGGTTTA